CCTCCCGAGGGATGCTGTTCACCGCCCCGGGTCGCAGCTCCACCACCCCCGCCGTCCCCACCGTGTCATTGGAACCGGTCCCGAGCACCGCCGCCTCCAGAGCGAGCTGCAGTTCCGCGGCCGCGAGACCCGCGTCGTTCCGGAACGGCATCAGAGTGGCGCCCGCGTGGCCACCCCCCCCGGAAAAGGTGACGGTCAGTTGGGCCGGGGCTGCGATGGCAGTGACGATCCCAATGGGGATGCCTGCGCACCAAAAAGGGGGGTTCTGAAATCAGGTCTCAGAGGCAAGAATAGTATCAGGAAAGACAGGGGAATTCAAATGCGGTCCGCTGCAGAAAAGGTGACGGTCAGCTGGGCCGGGGCTGCGATGGCGGTGACGATCCCGATCGGGATGCCTGCGCACAATAAGGGGGCAAGACGGGAGTTCATTAAGGAATTCGCTTCATTGATAGACAGACAGGGACGTCAATGGCCGTCTCCTGCCGAAAAAAGGTGACAGTATACTGGAAGCGGGGTGCGATGGTGGTGACGATTGCAATGGGAATGCCTGCGCAGAAAGGGGAAAGTAAAGCGGGCTCAGTGCGGAGAGGGCTAAGTGGACAGAGGAGAACGTCGAGTGCCGTTACCTGCCGCAAAAGATGACGGTCAGGTGAGCTGTGATGCGATGGCGCTGTTGATCCCAATGGGGATGCCTGCGCAAAGCGAATTGGGGGTGTTGAGGGGAGTCCGAGGAGAAATTGGTTCCAGATGGAGATTTGATTTGCCATACTTTGCAAGAAAAGTTGATGGTATGCTGGATGGGGGCCGCACTCGTAGTGTTAGCATTAACGGGATCTATGCAGAGCGGAGGCGCGAGGGGGGTCGGTGAGAGTGCTGCAAACAGGATAAACGCTCGATCTTTATCCCGGCTGTTAGAACTTGAGGGGCAATTGGGCCCGGGCGTGCAATAGTGATGGCGAGTCCCATAGAACGCCTGCACAGAACAGTTGGGGGGCAAAGGAGTTGAATTTGACCGAACATGTAGAGGTAAAGCGCTTCTTCTCAAAGCCCCGTCCCAATGATTGGGAGCAATCGCTGTGGGGATCTGATGGGGATGCGTGCACGGAGTTTATCGGGAAAGGAAGACCATTCAGGAATACAATAACAAGCGTATAGGGGACGGCTGCAATTTCCAAGTTGGCACACCTTCCCCTTGCTGAGACTACGAAAAAGCGACTGGACGGTTTCAAAAGGGGCTCACTACTGCCTTCTGCCGAATGACGCAACAGTCGACAAGAAGCGGGTTAAAAGCGCACAACAAGGTGGCAACTCCCCCCCTGGGTTTATATGACCATCTCCGAATGATGTGCCTAACATCCCAATGGTCTACCGCGCCCCTTCAATGCGTTGGATCTCTGCTCCCAACCCGACGTGGTTTAGATGACACAGGAAACAGGCAAGACACGGCCTGTTCACCTTCCTCCTCGAGAGTTGGTCCCTGCTCGATGTGAAGTTCCACAAACGCCGAGTACTTGTTCTTGACCACAGCCGAGTCCAGGTTCTTCAGCGCGTCGGGGTAGCCTGCTGCGGCAGCCGCCTCGTCGAATGACGTGCCATTCTCGTCGTGCGCCGCCTCTAGTTTCTGCCGGATCTCGGGATGCCCCGACATGACACGGCTGCAGGAAGTTACCAAACAAACTTGGGGGCCACATACCTTGTGCTACCGCAATTCTCGCTTCTGAAAGTTGTGAGAAAGATGGGGAAGCCTATTGAAAGGCCTGATACGCAGCGGCTGACTGCTTGAGAGAGTTAGGAAAGATGAGTGATCCCAAATAGAGAGAGTCGCAAGAGTCGTAAGAGTCATGAGAGTCGAGAGAATTGAAAGGTCGGGAAAAACATTCGAATTCCAGAAGTCCCAGTTGCTTCAAGAAAATTTGGAGGGCACTTGGAAATCTAGTACTTAGACTTGATGAGTGACATAGGCAAGATTCAGGTTCGGACTACTCGAATTGCCACGTCTTACTTGGAGGGAAACCTCAACACGCAGTCATCTAAGGTTTATGCCGTTGTGCCTGAGCCCTATTCTACATTGAGCCCGACACAAGAAGTTTTGCAGCCCACTTGATGGTAGGAGCCAATTGCAGTCCAGCATCAGAGAAGACAGAACTTGGTAATGTCGATTCGAAGCCCTCAAATCCCTGTTCAAATATACAAGCTCAAGTGCACAAGCTTCAAATCTAAGCTGCGCAAGCAGCCAGGACACAAGCATCTCAGGCTCACACCCAGACGTCCTTGACTTCACCACATAAGAACAGTAAGCTAAAGTCGGAAGCAGAGTACGGATTGCCGATTCCGAACGACAAGTAATTGGACAGGTAGACATGATGCATACTTCAGCGGATCATCTTTCCAGTCCGAATACTGAATTGGGAACGACCGACGTGTCAGGCACAAGAAGTGGAGAGTGCTGAGGGCCGCACCTGCCCAGACACCCAAACCCAAAACGTGTTGGCTCCTCGCTTGTAAACATGACCACCTCAATTGGCCGCCATGGTTTGAACCCCGCTGCCTGCAATGCTTTGATTGCTTCGATCGGTCCTAAGACCCCCAGAACCCCGTCGTACTTTCCGGCAAGCGGGATTGCATCGACATGGCTCCCAGTGCCTACAATCCCGTCGGTGGTGTCGCTGCCTTCCCAGAGACCGTAAATGTTGCCAACGGCGTCTTCCGTTATTGTCAAATTCGCGTCTTTCATCAATGACTTGACATACCTGCAGACACGCAGCGATTCTTATACTATTTGCAATCTATCAAAATCACAATACAAGACAGTAGAGAATCTCACTGGGACACGTGAAAATGCATAAAATCTGCCCTTGCTTAAGAAGACAGAATGTAGGTGGTGGCTACCAGGTTAAGGAGAAAGTCTGCAAACGCTGTGCTTTTGTACCATGTCCTCCTTCTTATGGACTCTGTTCTTCTTTCCAGTCACCAATCCAAGAGATGGTGGTGGCTCAATTGTAGTCCAAGTCAGTCCTTTACACCAGCACGCGAATGTGGGCCAAAAGCAAGCTCAACGTGTAGATAATCTGAATTCCCATCTATTTGCATGAGGGCTTTGCTTCTGGCCTACAGCAGTGAAGGCTGGCCAAGCGGAATGGACAGACGGCGCAAAGCAAGTTGACGCAAAATTGACTGTAATCTCCAATGCTGTCACCTTTGTGCAATCATGGTGGCAGACACACAACCACCTCGGATGTCATGATCAACGCACACTGCTTGTAGGCAAGTTGCACAAGCCGTCTATTGCCAGGAGCTTTCAAGCGTCAAAACCTTTGGTTGGAGTAAACATAATAAAACAGACAGGACAGAACACATACGGCAAATTCCAATTACCTCTTGACAATCATTGGACTTTTTCCTCCAAAGCACAAGGCTGATGACCACTGACACTGAGCAGACGCTAGAATGCTGAGACTATGCTTGAGAGGCATGGATTCAGGTACTTACCTGCGCGCAGCAATGTCATTGTCTGTAAAGAGGATCCGTGTGACGGCCGGTGTCTCATCATCTGAGAACGTCGCCAGATGATCGATCCAACCCTGCAATCTTTCGGCATTGACCGCCAGCACCGATGCACCAAAGCCTGGATTCCCATGTTCCAAGCTGAGCGTAGCGTCCGGGTACGCCGCACTGTTGAGGTCGATGGCATATGCACCACTAAAAGCAAACAGTAGAGTCACGACAATCGACACAAGGTGGCCCCTGTTCTTCATGACGGCTGATTCTCAAAGGAACTAGCAATGCCAAAAGCATCATGAAGATTGAGCTAGAGATCTTCAGTCATGCTGCCACTACAAGCCACCATCTTTGGCCCTCCTTTGCAGCCGCCTCAAATTCAATCATCAATGGCATGTCCCGTGACATCTCCCAAAAGCCATGATGTGCCAGCCAGTGCCAGCTGACGAGCCAGCTGGCGGGGGAACTGACCTGAAAGGTTCGTTCTGCGCCGTCAGATGACGATCGTCATCACTTAGACCGTACAGATGCCTACCCTGTGTGTCCCGACATTGTACCCTCTTTAAGCGGTCTTGGTTAAGAAAATTCAAAAAAGGTGGTTTGTACAGTGGTCAATCAAAACAAGAGCCGCATCAGGTGTCAGAGTCCCAACCGCGAGTTGATCGACTTCAAACAGTACCCCTCTTCGACCCTGACCCCTCCGTTTACTGGTGTGGTTAGGGACCAATTTCAATTTGATTTTCTTCTTCCAGATAGGATTAGGATAGGCGGCAGGCCGCTGCCCAGCAACTAGAGCGCTTTTTTCGCCCCTTCTTTCCCGGAAGGCATCAACTCAAATTGGTCTCCTCTCTCCTGAGGCTGTTCACAGGGATTCGGGAAACCTCGAAGGTTCACTTCAAGCTGAGTTCAGCTAGGGAGGCGGCTAACCTGGGTAAGCTGACCTTCGTTGTTGCTGCGCAGAGCTGCTGATCAGCTGAGGGGTAGCAGGGAGCGTTGTTTGTTTGGGCACACGTTATTGTCTTGGCACCAGGTGGAAGAGCAGGCAGGTTTCTTTGGACACAAAGGTTTAGTGATCTTCACGGTCGCCATCATCTGGCCGCAGGGGCTGTTTAACAAGTACAACGGCGAGACAGGTTGCCAGACAGGGGTCCGGAGAGATCGACCTGACCAAGCGTTTTATGGGCGGAACTGCGCGCTGCGACGGCGGCGCGGAGGGGGAGAGCGGTAGTTGCAGTCCTAGGGATGCGGCATTAGGATCTGGGGGGCCTCCTGGGGAGGAGGCCCTGGGGAAGGGAGGGTTGCATGCAGCTGCTGTGAGCGGGGCCGCCAATGGGGGGCCTCAGATCAGGACAGCGGGGAGCTTACCTCGGCGGCCCCCGGCTCTGGAGAGAGCGGGCAGTATTCATCCAAAGGAGGAGATCCGAGCGGAGACCACGTACTTGGAGTTGCTGCTTTTGGCCATTCCGTCGATGTTGCTCTCGGGGGCTGCACCTCTGGCAGTCACGGTGCAGACTGCGATGCTGGGGCAGAAAGCAACAGAACTTCTGGCTGCGTGGGCCGTTGTCTCAGGTGTGCACATTTGGCCTTCGCTGGGATTGTTCTTGTGAGAGGGTCCTTCTTCTGCAGTTACGCGCATGTTATTCTTAATGACGAGAATGATCAGGCAAGAAGATGTCAGGAGGGGGTCCGCACTCGCCGACTGACCGTTGAGTGCATGCCAGACGCGGTCAGATCTGTGTACAGCATGCTGGTAGGAGATGCTTTGTCACGGCCCATACTCTTCCTCTGCCCCTGAGTGAAAGTCCAAACTTCAAGCAGCCTGGAGCCTCAAATCATCTAGCCCCTGGATAAGGCTCGAGGCACACTAGCTGGTGCATGCGGTTGCTACTTGGGCATTGAGCCTAGAAGGTGTGCCTTTGGCTGCTTTGGTTCTGCGAGTTATGAGTGTGGCTCTGGTTGCTTCATTGTTGAGCATATCCTTTAAGATTGTCTAATTGACAGTTTTTATGCTGGTCTATGGTAGTTTGATTAAGCTGGCCTTTCCTTAAAAAATTCTTGCCCTCATTGCATTAACATGCATTTCTTGAACGTTCCGGATTGCATTATCTGTTTGCATGCTCTGATTCATGTAGTCAATCAGTCATCTGGAGCTGCATCCTCTTCTTTATGTGAATAGCTTCCTTTGGTAGGAATACAACAGGCCTTCAGGAGTACTGTGCTGCAGGACGGGGCTTATTCTTGTCGTGAAAGTAGAAAATACGCTTTGCACCACACATTTATCCCAGTTGCTGAGCACAGTAAGGTGTCCTCCTGTTTCTCTCAGGGCTTTTGGAGGGCTTACATTAAGAAAAGTCCCTCAGAGGGTTGGGGGCCGGCCTTTTTCAAACCCTTTCTTTACCTTTTTGTTCCTTCTTGGCTGCCTGTCTGCCCCACTCCTGTGCAAAAGGGAACTGATGAAGAAGAAAGAAAGAAAGAAAGAAAGAAAGAAAATATCCTGTTAAAAATAAGCGGGCCGTGTTTAAGGGAAGGGCAGTGCAGGCCACTTTGGAGAGGCCCCCTCTGCGGTAATCATTTTTGGCTTCGTTCTGCAACATGGTTGCCCAAGCATTAAGAGGTACCTCAACCCTGGCAATCACATTCTCTTCTCGCTGATGCATTCATCAAATTTTTGACGCCGCTCGGCAAAGAATTTTTTGTAGTGCCTTCTGACACCTGTCAGAAGAAATACTTGTCACGAGCAAGGCTTGTGTTTCTTCTCATTGCCTGCTGGACCTCTCCTTCAGCTTTCATATGGTACACTGCCCCAGCTCGCAGCGGACTTTTGAGGGTTGATCGAGCTCAGTGCCTCTCTCCAAAAACGCAAGCTTAATGACTCGATGAATGTTCAAAGCAGCGAACCGATCTGGTTGCTTTCCTGCCCCAACGAGAAGAACGCAACGGTAGATTATCTGCCATTCACAAAATCGTGGGGGCGAACGCCTGCGTCCTAAAGCAAGCAGCAGCAAATAAATACTGTCTCTCTTCCTGTTCTGCAGCGACGACCAACTCTGCAGTTGTCGTCTTCAACTTTCTGATCGTGGGGGTGACTGCGAAAGTGAGCCTGGCCGTGGGCGCCAAGGCGTGGCGCCAGGTGGGAGCGCGCATCCGGCTGGCGCTTGCGAGCGCGCTGTGCGCCGGCATACTGGCCGCTTTCCTTTTGGCGGCGCTCAAGCGGCCCATCTTCACAATTATGGATGTGAGTGGACCACCAAGGGGTTTCTCCTTTAAATTACTGCCGAAATCCTGTCCTCAGAACCTTGTACCGTCGTTTGTCAGATTGTTGGGTTTGGAACATTGGAGGGCTGTCAGACAATAATCTTTTCAACGGCTGGTTTGGAGTCCCCAGTTGTTCTTTCACTTGCAAATGTCTCTTGGGAACTCAGGGTTGAGGCAAATGTGCCTGGGGTTTGTTAATCAGAACATCTCACAGATGAAGGGATAGTGCCCTTTTTGGATGATACATTCGCAAGTTCATGGGAGTTGTGGACATAGGGTCCCTGTCCATTGAAGAAGGGGCAATGTTGAAGCAAGGTTTATGTTGCCCAAGTTTATTGGTCATGTGATATTATCTCTGCCTTTTAAAAAGCGTTATGTTGGATCTTGCCCAGCGGCACATTGGTGTTTGCTGCCTCTTTGCTATTGGGCATGCATGTCATTTCAGAGAGGGCGGCAGGAGTTGAGTGTGAGGAAGCATTCCAGAACCAGAAGGAAATCATAGCCCTTCTCTTTAGGTTTGTGGCACTTCTTGTGCAGACCAGCTTGCTATTTTGGAGCCTGCAGAGGAGTACCACTCTTTCGCTTGTTCTCCCTTCCTCCCGCCTCATTCTGCGCCCTACTCCTCCCTCACATTGCTTGCTCTTAAACCAATCCTAACCAATCTTCTTGCAGACCAACCCCGCGGTGCAGAAACCTGCGGAGCAGTACTACTTCCTTCGCGTGTTGGGCCTGCCGTCGCAGCTTCTGGCGATGGCCGTGGTCGGAATCCTGCAAGGCTACAAGCGGGTATACCTTGTCGCTACCATCAACATCGGACGCCTGGTCTTTGAAGTCGCAGCAAGGTGGGTCTGACGAGGGTTCAGCATCTTATGGCGAGGGGGGCGAATAGGTCTTTCGGGGTGCGGAAGAAGCGCGCTGGCTGCAGATTGCTGTGTTTGCGTTTGAATCTGTTAACGAAAGTGTGCAGAGTACCTGGAAGCGTTTGTAATCTGCTATCGAAACTGTCAGTACCTAACCTGCAACAAGGCGTTCTTTGGATTGTTCTGCTGGTGCGTTTTGCTGATGGATGTCAAGGATGCACTTCTAGCTGCATTGTGCCACAGCTTATCGGCTTTTGTAGGTGCTGCAATGTAACATTTAGCACCTTGCCCCTCAATGGCCTACGCAGGGATCTCTGACCTTGAGAGCACGGGGTGGCACAACGGCACGCTGCCTAGCACTGCGACTGAGTGCTGTTTTCCACTGGATGCTTTTTAGCAGGAAAAGTTTGTTGCCTGAGTTGGTATTTGAGCAGTTTCCCTACCCGATCCATGCGTTTTTAACACTAACAAAGGTATTGAAGATTCTAACGACCAGCAGTGATTACCCACCTTTGCACAAAGGTCGTCTGGTTTTTTGGTTGAGTCGCTGAGCTCGTGAAAGCATGGACACTCCTTGAACAACCCTCCATTCGTTCTTTGTCCCCTGCAGTTACGTCTCCCTCTTCTATTTCGACTGGGGCATGTGGGGCGTGGGCGTCTCCAACATCACAGCCGTTACCATGGCCTTCGTAGCCGGTCTCATTCTAGTTATGACGCTACCCCCCCAGGACGGAAAAGGACAGATCCCGCTGCTGCCACCAGAGTGGGGCGGCTGCTGGCAGAACTGCTGCTCACCTGGTAAGGGGGTCACCAGAGTGCAACTTTTAATTCATTTATGGTGTGATACTAAGAAGACATGTAAAGTCCTTACTCGAAGTCTTTTTGAGCCTTCCGTGGAAGAATCCGGCTCTTGCTTTTGTCACGTTCAGGACATCAGGGGGTGGATACCCAGTGTGTAAGATGCTTGATTGACGGAACGTGTCAGGACAACTACTGCAGTTAAACTCATCTTTGCAAAGTCAGCGAACAGGAAGCCCTATTTGTTTCAAGTCGGTGATTGTTGCCTTTGGCCTGAGTTCGTTGTGCTTGTCATCAGCTCGAGTCGTTTTGTGCTTGTGAAGCAAGCAGGCGGCCCTCATTGGTGTCTTCTTGAAGAGGGTGCCTGGGTGTTTGGCTTTCTTCTGGCGTCAGCTCCACACAGTGTCCCCAGATTGTGAGCGCAGAGGACATCCAGTTCCGTTGTTATTTCAGGTTAATTTGTGCGGGGCTGTGCAGGGAGATGTGCAACTCGAAAAGAGGACTTGTGTTGCGTAAAACTCTCACTCTAGTGCAGTTTGAGCGTCCGTACCAGCCCGCTCACAATTCCGCAGCGTGCGATTGGTCGGACACAATCGCTGTGGAGAGCGTTATATAGTCTGACGCCATATGCTCTACCAGGCTTCCAAGCCCGGTGGTCACCTTGAGCGCCCCTAACTCGTTCCTTTTCCTGTCAAAACCAGGCAAAAACCGCCCCAGCTCTCGTTTCGACTTCGACGACAGCCCCGACCCGTCCACCCGCCTTCTCGCACCCGAGGGGCAGCATTTCGACGAAGAAAAGGGCCCCCCATCCGAGGAGCCCCGGGTCGAGGAGCACGGGGGCACGTGGGACTTCATCTGGGACGGCTTGAGCACCATCATGCGCAGCGCGCTCATCCAGATCACCTTCTTCCTCTCGCTGGTGTGCGCGTCGCGGCTCGGGATGTATGCTGTGGCAGCCCATCAGGTGAGGCGTCGTTTCATTAAGGTTTTCAGTTTGTTCCCTCAAGATTTTGGGCATTCCCCCTGGGCGTCCGCTTCTGGGCAGGGCGCCTTTGGTGAAGCATTCGGTCTCCTTGCTGGTCTTCGCATTGTACTTGCTCCGTCGTAGGCCGTTGTGTGATAAATAACGACCTATGGAAGTGCGGTCACTGGGGCGTCTGTTTTTTTTCCTGTGCACCCGCGACGTGCATGAAACCTTGATCCAGATTGCCACATCATGCTTGATCGTCTGTGCATTACGCCTTGGCACATAGGCCGTGATAGCGGATATCTGGGAAAATCAGTCCTGGGGTCTATCGAAGTTGGTGCTCGAAATCTGGGTTTCCCACTCTTTTTTAGCTCGGTTTACTGACAAAGTCAGTACCGAGCTGTCGCAATCGACCCCGGGGCTTTGAAAAAGGGGGAAGTGGCGATGCATACTGGTTCACTCTATTAAGCCTGCTTCGGCCCGTCGAAAGGTGGTTTTAGCGAATCAAAACCTGAAACTGCAGACTCCCGTTTTCGACGGGTTTTGAGGTTCGATGCCCCGAAAAACTTTTTTTTGGGCATAAATTCTGAACCTCTGCACGTGCCTGGGGCCTGCCCGGCCGAGGTTGCGGCCTTGTGCCTCGCGGCCGGCAGGGCGGCCGGCAGGTTGCCATTTTGCATTGAACTAGTACTAGTAGATCGAGTCCGGTCAAGCGGGTACGTGCTCGGCCCCGGTACATAATATATTACTAATATTTTTAGACCTAAAATGTGATGCACTCAATATCGACTTTTTCCGCGCATATCTCTCCTGAAAGTCAGAAATTTCGACCCTGAACTGGGGCTAGGCTTGTGAACTTTAATTCAAATATTCTTGAATATTCCGCCTTTTTGTAAACCGAGCGATTGCAGCATTTTGCTGCCTACATTTTTTTTTCGATTTTGCTCGTCGATTCGGTGTTGCGGGTTGAAATGCCAAAAGTTCTGTAGCGCCGTCCGCAACGCTTTCTTAACGCTTTCTTGATGCTCTCAGGACCTGAGTCCAAAGCGTGCAGACGTTGCTTGTACTTCTACGCATTGCTCATCACTCAGTCAAACCACCCCTTCGTTGCGTTTCACCCTCAACGCAGACATCAGAAGTCGAGTCCTTCTCTCCATCTCGTCCTTCGGAAGGAACATCAGGGTGTCCGTGGCCAACGGCTTTGTCAATGAAATGTTTTCGAAATTTTACCCCATTATGTCTCAATTTGTCATGGGTTTCCCTTTCTCTGCCTGTTGTGATAAATCTGTCTCCTTGGCTTATTCTGAAATGCTGAATCCTCCTCTTCTTTGCCAGGTCATCATGCAGCTGTGGCTCATCACCGTGTACGTCGTCGACGGTTTCGCAAACGCGGGTACCATCGTGGGCTCCGATCTCGCCGGCCGCATGGAGGCCTCCCGCGGACCGCAGGCGCTCTTCATCCTCTTCGAGCTGCGCAAATTGACGCGCCGTCTGCTGATCATGGGCAACGGGGTTGGGTTCCTGGTCGCGATCGTGTACTTCTTCGGCCAGGAGCGTATCATAAGCGCGTTCACGTATGACGAGGGGACCAAGGCGCAGCTGCGGACGGTGTGGTTGCTGCTGACGGTCGTGCAGCCGCTGAATGCCACGGTGAGGAAGCTTTTTCCGTTGCACTAAAATTTGGCTAAGTTTCTCTGATTCTTTTATCAGCATTGGCGGCGCGGTCGTTTTGGCTGCTTCAGACGCTCCGTTTTAAGCATTGGTGAAGATCTTCACCTTGTTTGGTAAAAAAAGTGTGTACGGCTTTTTGAACCTTGCTTACCGCGCGACGCTGGTTCAGCTCTGTTGAGGAACTTTGCCTTGTTACGGTCTAGACGGTGGTTCGAATGTCTTCTATTCGCTGCACGAATAGAAGGTGGTTGACTGGCCTTGAAGCCTTATCAGCGTTATCTCTGTGGTTGCTGCGGACAGCCGTGTTGCAGTTGAGAGCCGTGAATGGGTTGCGGACGAAAGCGTCATCTAGTTGTTCCCTTTCCGGCACTTTGTAAAATCTGATGGTCTGCCATTCTAATACCATGAATCATTTTGGCCGAGTCCAATCATTTTTTCAAATCTTTTTGAAAGTGAAAAAGTAAGATTAGCGTTTGGACTCAAAAGACAACATAATGGTGCTCTTGAACCTGCATCCCCTCCGTTTGTTGAAATAGCGGCCGTACATGTTGTTCGGCAGTTCACGCGGTGCTGCTATTGGTCATGCTTGGCAGGCCGCTCAGCAAGTTGGGAACTAACGTGACACTTCAAACAGCATGTGAACATTCCGAAGCATTCAAGGTTTGGTGTGAAAAGCACCACCGATTAAAATCCAGCATCTATCTTTGCACCATTTTTGGCGATGTGACCCCTACTGAGGTTTTAGAATTTTCCATCCTTTATCCCAAACAGCTACTTCCCTATCTTACTGGAACTCACGACATGAAGTGCTTGTACAGGTGTTCATCTACGATGGCCTGATCTATGCGTCGCAGTCCTTTAACTACATGGCGAACTGTATGTTCGTCGGCTTCATAGTCATCTTCCTTCCCTTTTGCGGTGAGTAAACCAAGTTTTTTGTCGTGTGGGCACCATACAGTAGCTCCGTGGTTTTCAACGAGTACTTGCCCTTTGTCTATATGTCTAGATTGGGCTCGTACCGCCCAAGTGGTAGACCTAAAACGTTTGTGCTTGGTCTTATTGAGTTCTAAGATTCTTTTCAAGTACGTTGACCATTTCTGTGTGGCTCCTGTCTAGGATATTCTTGTCATGAGACATCAATGTAGGCGACTCTGGCCGTGTTTTTCCTTTTTGGCCCGATTGTTGAGTCCTGATGTGGGATTGTTTATGCTGAGATGCGCTTAGTCAAAGAACTACTTTGTTGATCTTATTCTTCGTGGGCTGCAGGTGCGTCTGCTTTCTACTTCAAAAACCTTCTGTGGGTCTGGATTGCAAAAGCTGCATTCAACCTATTCGTTCGCTTCTTTGCTGCTAGTCACCGCATTCACTTCCATTGGTTGAGGCCCAAGTGGGCCGAAGGAAAAGATTATCCTGATGAGTGGAGCAAGCACGGCGGTGTATATATGCTCCCCGCCGGATGGATTGATAGCCAAAGTAGGGAGAGGACAAACGCAGCTTCAGCATCATAGCCAATCAAACGATATAATAGATACGTTTTCAGTCAATCATCGCTCGCGCTAACATAGTAATGGATATTAGTTTGGCAAAAAGGAAATGAGGATTTGAATTTTCTACCTTCTTGTATCTGACCATCATTGGGATGATGGTCAAGTAAATTAAGCGGTCGCCCAATCAGCAAGTTTGTAGGATGAAGGACGTGGATGACTCTTTGATGTTCTGCCTGGATTGAATCTGATGAAGGAAGGCTGCGCCGAGCAGAGTTGAGTCAGCGCAAATGTTATTCGAAGTTTCCGGGGCTGAAATCATGGATCAAGCCGGGTTGCTATGGTGGAGTGCTTTCATTGAGCTAGTGATACCTGCTGATTGTGGTTCGACAATTCAAGTCAAATAAAACGAGTGTGGCGTCAACCCTGACTCTGGTGTAATTGGCATGTGGGCATGCGGACCATACACTGACAGGATTTTAAAGGCAATATGGACGATTGACAACAGCGGCTAGCTGCGCCCATGCGCGGGCCCAAATTTTTGGGTCCAAGCATAGGTTGAAACCAGCCTTGCATGCACGTGCCGGGGCGGCACAATATCGTAATTGTACGTATGCCAAATCTAGTAGGTGAGCCGACACCGTCATGTTAATCCGAGCGCGGGCCGCCACTGTTCCCGTGCAGTTATCATGCAGAGAAGTAATGAATCTCTGACTGGCCGCATGCCGGCGGCACGGCGCACCCAAGAAGTGTTCACGGACAGGCTCGACCGGCGCGGCCGCCTCATATATAAGATTAAAGTGCAACGGTAGCTATCTTTTATTGCATAGAATGATCAACTCAGTTATCTCCGTCCCGTTGTCCGCTCTCTTCTCATATATCATATATCGCTATTGCAGCGCGCATGTACCGGTCGGATCATTTTAATGAAGCTTGCATGATTGAAAGGCTGGCGGTATGCACAAGCAGACCGAGCCACTGAGTCAGGATGGGACATGACGGTTATTCACCATTTGAAGCCAGTTGGTGCCGGCCCACTGCGCAACACCCGGCGCCCGGCCGGGTTGAGCCTGCATACCCGCTGGCTGCTCATCAGTGCTTGGTGATGCTCGACATGACACGTGGCAGCTTGACGACGGCACGCACTGCATACGATCGCAATCTCCCCGCAATCTTGTGGTCTGGTCACCCATTGATTGATACCCCGAGTCCCGGCGGGCAACCGAATCAATTACTTGAATAGCATGCCAAAAATGATAAGTTCAATGATTAGATGCTCAGCAGTCGCTATTTTGCCACATTCTGGTTGGGTGCAGCGATTCTGGCAAAGTTGCTTGGCAAAAATTGCTTCTTTGTTTCAATGGCGGCTCCGTTCGACCTTTCAAAAGGTACTTGCATCTGCCAGGACCGTCTGTAAACTGCATGCACGATATTTCTTTTGGAGTTTCTCGGTCGGACCCAACCGTGCGGACCATGCACTGATTCTGATCGGATTCGATCTGAAACAGAGAACGATTATTACATGGCTTTAGACGGCGACTGGGATTACCGTGCTTGAGGACGGCAAAAGCTTGACAAGGATCACAAAGTGCATTTCAAGTTTATTACTGGGGTACGTGTTAGTCTGTCACTGTGGTGTTCAATTAACCTGACATGATTGTCTCATTGGCTCTCTACCGTCCAAATACAGCCGCCAAAATTGCCCCGGGAAAAAAGGGCATTGATAAAAAAATCTGATTATCAACCTACGAAAACGACACGGACGAGGCGACGGTGACGGGAACGCTTGTGAGCCGAGCTTCCCCTTCTCAACTCAACAAACTTTCATCTAAACAAACTCCACCGTATGCTTATCATAATCCGGCTCCGTCACCGGTATCTTCGCCCCGGCCGGCACGACCGCAACGTTGTCAAGCAACACGCCATACGCGCTATTGTTAGAGTCCTCCCCTTCGAATTTAAGAGTGCTCTGATCAGCCGTGGCGGTGAACTCAAACGTGTGGGTCTCCCACAAGGTCGACTTCCCGTCTTGGCCCGGCGGCGACTGGATGACCTTCCTGACGTCAGCAACGGTCACGATTGCGTCGAGAGTCTTGTTGCGCTGGTGCCCGGCGGGGCTGCCGGCCAGCGCGAAGCGGACGACGTACTTCTGGCCCGGCGTGGTGGGGAACGTCTGCAGGGGGCGTTGCTCAAGATTATCGAAACAAATATTTCTGGACGTTGACCAGGGGTGGTTATGGGCTGGTTAGGAAATAGTCTTATGTCCAATAAGTTGACTTGGGCGATAACAGCCCTAGAGCAAGGTTATATACCGGTTGTTTGTGGGATACCTTGTCGAATACTCTAGTCTGGTAATGTCTGCTTAGCACCTGAGTAAGTCCTGTGCAGAAGTGGCATATCAAACCGATTCTCAAGTAGAATGAAAGCAAGGCGAGCATGACGTCATGCGCGAGAATGGATTGGTGTGCCGCTACTCAAGCTCCTTCTGTATGGCGAACGTTTTGATTGAATTGAAGGTGGCATTGCAAACGCTGAGCTCTTAAGAGAGGACTAAAGGACTTTTGACAGCCGTGGTGCGCAGATACGTCACTTGTTGACAGCATTAGGCAACACGGACGTCGTCTGCCGTCTTTGTGCAGCGGGGACGTCTCAGGCCTCCGTCCAGTGGGCTAATGGGCAATAAATGGGTCGGGAGCCGTCAGATAAGGTACGGACAACTCGCCAAGTATGTCAAAGAAGAACCACTTTGAAGACGTAAGGGCCAATGTCGCAAAGTCTTGAAATTTCTAAACCCGAAAATTTAAATGTTCTGACAGTCCGAAACTTCGTCGAAGCGCACCTGCTGGATGGACCCGGCGTGACGTCCGTTGAGGTCGATGTGGAAGTCGCCGGACTGAGCGAAGCCCCACGTGCCCGGGTCGCGCCGCTGGAGGTCCACGTCACTTTTGCCAACGGTCCAGTGCGGGATCTCGTTTGACCCGGCCTTCACATTCCTGTCGGGGTTAGCGCGGTCGATGACGTCCGGCGGGCTGTCCTCAAAGTCACCGTTCTCTGCAAGAAAGAGACGCGGGGGTTAGGGCGAGGCGGGTACGAGATGGCTCTTGATGTAGGGAAGAGCTTCCACAAGCTCTAACAAAAAGCGATATGCACCGCCCATCAAGCGTAGAAAGCGAGAAAGAAGCATCAATGACTTTGGTGAGGCAGGAAAGTGGGTTCCAGAATGAGACGAACTAAAAACAACGAATCCAAGCAAGAGGTGCTACTTGTCTCTCGTCGGGATTCGCTTCAAACGGACGGCTGTCAGGACTCTGAGCGAGAGTTCAAGCTCTTCGTTTATGATGCAAATGAGGAGATGAGTCTACGGAGTTAGCTGCAAGATTCTGATTTGAGTGGAGGCCTTACTGATCAGATTGGGGCTCGGCTGTGGCAGCTTTCCACCTGCAGAAAGACGGAAAGGCACATTTTGTACGCGAGAAGACAGAAAGACATGCAAGACTGGATTTCAGCAGAAGAGAGAAACAGACGCCTGCTGCAAAAACGAATGCTATGTGCATATTGCAGGGACGTACCTCTACCGACCACGTCTGATAATTCTCCCGATTATAAACAAAGCTGTCGCTTTGCCGAAAGAGCGTGAAAGGGATCCCAAGTAAGCTTAGGTGCAGCACTGTTGGGATTGACCCTATCAGCGTGTCATACACACTGCCCAGATCTGACAGATGTTGGAGGTATTGACACCAGTCGGCGAGTCGGCGGGTGGTGCTCTGACTCTTGTCAGCAAGGATCCGGTCAAAACAGTCTTGTGCGGATTTGAAACCGGTTCTGAGACTGCAGACTAAGCACAGACGTCGTTCCAGACTCACCCTTGACGATCCTGACATTGTCGATGCAAGGCCCGTAGACTCCCTTGTTGCCGCATGGTGACTCGAAACGGATCGTAGACCTCGACTCGGTCGCTCTGAAGGCGAAGGTGACGTCAGCCCACTTGGAGGGGTAGGGCTTGCCCCCCTTCTTGTTGAAGGGCGACTTGGGAGACGTGATTGCCTTCTTGAAGTCGCCGACAGACACGTGCACGATGTCGGTCCCCGGATGCTCCGGATTGGCGGCGAGGCCGAAAGTGACGGTGTAAATCGCCCCTTTCTCGGTGTCGAAGGACTGCACAGGGGGCGTCGGAGGGTCGTTTGCTAGTGGCAACTTCTTCCCATGCTACTGAGAGGTAAAATATTCTTGAAAGGTCGAAGGACACAGCGCGGCCAGCGCAGCGAAAAATGCGCGTAAGGCCTGTATGGTTGCCTCAAGCCTTGCTTTGCTTTGCTACACAAAAGGGCCTGAAGCGCAGTCTTCATTTGAAACCGAAGGTTGGAAGCAATTCGAGCCGTCTTCAATTAAAGCTATGACCGTCAGCTCTAAAAAGCACGCCTTATTGGTTAGACTGGCTCGAAGCCCGTAACGCCTCTTCCGTACCCTTGGCTGGAAAGCCATCTGAGCAGTCTCGCAACTCCATTCAAAACCTCCGCCGAAGACTACACACATTCAAAAAGGAGGTCTCCGTAGTCTGCCGCTTCCTTACCTGCTCGACGCCGCCCGGTTGACGGCCGGTAAGGTCCACGCAGTAGTCCCCGCTCTGTGCTTTGAAGCAGCCGCTGCCGATGAGTTCGACGTTGCCTTTGGTGATCCTCCAGTCGGTCAGCTCGGTTGACCGCATGTCCACCACGCGGTCCCCTTTGTAGTTCTTGAAGGCCTCTCTCTCGTTCTCGAAGTCCCAGTTCTCTGCAGGACGCGCGACGTGAAAGCGTGAGAGATCTAGTGCCGGTCTCGAAAAGTCAAGAGACTTGGACTTACACAAAGAAGCCTGTTATGTACTTCTTCTATAAGCGCCCAATACCCCGTCGACTTATGTCACTACTGATATTCCTGCCTACCCTCCGCACGTGTATATGTTGCCCCTCAATACACGTGGAACAGGTCTGGAAGAAGCAAACATTTGAAAAAGTCGATACGAACAGGGCCAGCAAGAGTTGAATGATGCCTGGGAAACTACGTATCCGTTCGAAGGAAGCGGCGAAGAGTGTCTTACTGAGCAGGCTTGGGGGCTGATTCGGGGGAATCGGCTGCTCGCTGGGGTCAGCCGCCGGTGTCTCTTTTGCCGGCGGGTTTGGTTCCGCTGGCTTTGGATCCGTCGGTTCCGCCGGCTTTGGCTCTGCCGGCTTTGGTTCCGTCGGAGTTGGCTCTGCCGGCTTCGGTTCCGCCGGCTTTGGCTCGGCCGGCTTCGGTTCCGTCGGAACTGGCTCTGCAGGCTTCGGTTCTGCGGGCTTTGGCTCGGCCGGCTTCGGTTCCGTCGGAGTTGGCTCCGCCGGCTTCGGTTCCGCCGGCTTTGGCTCCGCGGGCTTTGGCTCGGCCGGCTTCGGCTCCACCGGCTTTGGTTCAGCCGGTTTTGGTTCCGCCGGCTTTGGCTCCGCCGGCTTCGGTTCCGCCGGCTTTGGCTCCAGCGGCTTTGGCTCTGCCGGTTTGCCCTTATCTGCAACAAGATGCCGGTGAGGTCGTCAAGTATCTGCCGGATCCGACAATACTTTCTCCCGCCTGCTCAGAGCAAAGATGACGAAAGCGACCACAATCCCCAGCCGCCCGATGAATGAATCTGTTTGCACACGACCAATCCGGAAAGGAGGCTGTCCTTTTCCACACCCAGGTACGCTCGCCGGTCTTCAGTGCGTCTTTGGTCGGTCCATCGTGTCAGTTTCGATTTTGCCTGCTGACGGCTAGGATAATTACCTTTGTTATGCACTATTCTCCACCCTACTTTCGTATCCCGTCAAAAGTAACACCAAGTAGGATCTATAGACCTGGCTTTTGTGGTGACCATTCGAGAGGAGACTGGAAGTACGGCCTCCTCATCGGCCGACTCGCAGGAAAAGAGATTCCCTGATTCCGACTCATACTGTCCGTGCATGTTGAAAGGAGGACATTGAACCGAACGGCCGAGGACAAAAACGGGCCGTCTGTTTGGCGGCAGCTAACGAAGGAAACTTAACTAGCAGTTGATCGACCTCACCCTTAGCAACGTTCGGGACAAACACCACCCCCGGTTCTAATGGGCTGCCACGAGCCAAGATGGTCCCGTCGGGGCGCTGCAAACGGCCCTCCCCGAAGCCGTCCATGCCCCTCAGCGTATCCAGCGCTTCCCCCACAGTTTGGCCGGGTTGCATCTTTGCAGGAGAACTGCCGCCCGGGTTCTCAATTACAATCGGCTCCTTGTTGGCACCTGCAAATGGTCGAAGAGTGCCTCGTAGTACCTTGAGAGCTAGAGATGACCCCTAGCCTAAAAGAGGCAACATATACCGACTTGAATCAGACTTAAAGACAAGTACTCTTGATCGGGCCAAAACAACTGCACGGCACAATGAAGCAACGAGGCAAGTTGCGGTACTCACGTTGCGCTAGCAGGAACGCAGCAATCAGTCTTGCAATAACGAGCGGTGGAAGCTCTGCGGGCGGCACAACTCGAATGAGGCCTTTGCGTTCGAAAGGGGTCGAGATCAAAAGTGTTGACGCTGAGAATTGAGATGCGTCACTCAAAAGGTGAGAGCAAAGCGCATTCGTTCTTCTCACCTCCAGCAGCATTTGTGCCTTCTCCGCCCCGCCAGACCCTCGGCCGTTGCCGGAATCATCCTTCTCAGGTGGGTCATCCTTTCCTGCCGAGAGCAGGAGGATAACGTTTTGGCTTAAAGTATTTCGTAGCCTCCGTATACCTCCGATGCAAGCCCTGCGCTCCATCCACTGCGGCGCATGAAGCACTTGGGCACTTGAAAGAGAACTTTGGTCTAGATGCTCAGTGCACGCTAATCTATGAGCCCTGCTCAAGCGACCAAGTGCTGCAACATCCTAGCATGCTGATGCGCCCACCTTCAGCAACATTCGGGACGAAAACTACTCCCGGTTTCAGCGGGCTGCCGCGGGCCAAGATGGTGCCGTCGGGCTTTTGCAAGCGGCCCTCCCCGAAGCCGTCCACGCCCTTCAGCGCATCCAGCGCTTCCCCAACGGTTTGGGGCTGCAACTTAGCAGGAGCACCGCCGCTCGGGTTCCCAATAACAATCGGGTCCTTGTTGGCACTGCCTTTGCCACCTGCCAATGGAGAACGAGCACCTCAAACTCCCACAGAAGTAGGGAAAAATCTGCTTCCATAGTTGCTCTAAAAGGGCAGCATAAGCCAAAGTGAGCGAAGCGCAATGAGAACTTGAACATTCGTAAGTCCGATCGGAGCGCAAAGAAAACACGGAACCCGAAACACCGGGGCAAGGTGCGAATATCCGATTGCTGCGTGAACTTGAAGCCTATTCCGTACGGATTGCTTATTGTCAATGTCAAAACTATGAAGAATCCTGCAAAATTAGACCTTTGAGGTTGCTGCAAGCAGATAAAATTTGATGAAGGTTTTGCTTGAGAGGGGCCATATCCAGATATCTTGCTGATTGGGCTGCGTCGCACGGAAGCTGACCCGCAATGCGCACGCGATTCTCACCTCCAGAATCGTCCCCAGCTCCGCCCTTCTCTGCCCCGTTGGCCCCACGGCCGTCGCCCTCACGGCTTGCTGGCTGGCCTGTATTGGAGTCGTCCTTCTTTGGAGGGTCAGCTTTTTCTCCTGCCAAAAATAGATGAACACAGTTCCGTCTCTTGTCGTCGACGCTTGATCACAACCCGGTTCAAGCCCTCTCCTGCCTATGTCACGGCTTGTCTAAGCACACGTCGGCACATGAATTTCAGACCAATGGAGTGCGAGCTAGCTAGTTTGGAAGCGAAGTCCTGCTTAGGCGACCAAGGGCGAGAACTCAGATACCAGTATGTTGAGTTGCCCACCTTTTGCGACGTTCGGAACGAAGACTGCCCCCGGTTCTAGTGGGCTGCCGCGTGCCAAGATGGTGCCGTCGGGCTTCTGCAAGCGGCCCTCCCCAAAGCCGTCCACGCCCTTCAGCGCATCCAGCGCTTCCCCCACCGTTTGGGGCTGCAGCTTGGCAGGAAGACCGCCGCTCGGGTTCTCAATGACGATTGGCTCCTTATTTTTGCCACCTGCAGATGGTGGAATGAGCATCTCAAACCTCCCAGAGGACTCGAAAATATCGGTTCCAGATTTGCTCTCAAGGATGCAATCTGAGATGAGGGTGAGCGCACGGCAATCCTGACTCAATTCAGGCCGATCGGACCGCCAAAGGACACGGCATGTGAAAAGAAGCAAAGTGCGACTGTCCGATGCTGATGGGAGGACAGCCTTCTTCATTATTTTGGTTTCTTGTCTTTCATTCGACTTTCGGATCGTTAGTCTTGGGGGAACATCGTAGGAGTCTAAGAGCTGCAGAACTGTTGGCAAGCGGTAAAACAACAGTGAGGACTTGGCTTGAGGGGGACCAAATCCGGACTGGGCTGCCTTGCACGAAAGGTAATCCGCACTGCCCACGCAATTCTTACCTCCAGAAGCGTCACCAGCTCCTGCGCCCTTCTCTGCCCCGTTGGGCCCCCGGCCGTCGCCCTCGCGGCTTGCTGGCTGGCCAGCGCTGGAGTCGTCTTTCTTCGGAGGGTCAGCTTTTTCTGCCCAAAAAGAGAGGAGCAAAGATTGTCTTCTGTTGCTGTGCACGAGCTCACGAGCAGCGTGTTGAAGAGAGTCCACATTGCTCAGGAAACTTTCAAATCATCACCTGGTTCAAGGCTCCCTAAAGACGGCTTTTTGAAGGACATTCGGGAAGACAAAGGAGACATGCAAACCAACTAGGCCTGTGGATGCAAGCCTTGCTTAGGTGAACAAGAGCGTTATTCTAGCAGGCTGGTTGGCCCACCTTCGGCAACGTTCGGAACGAACACTGCCCCCGGTTCCAACGGGCTGCCGCGAGCCAAAATTGTGCCATCGGGCTTCTGCAAGCGACCCTCCCCGAAGCCGTCCACGCCCTTCAGCGCATCGAGCGCTTCCCCAACGGTCTGGGGTTGCAACTTTGCAGGGGAGCCGCCGCTCCGAGGGTTTTGGATGACAATTGGGTCCTTGCTGCCGCCGCTTTTGCCACCTGCGATTGGTCGAAGGGCACCGTAAAGCTCCCACGGGAGGCAGGAGAGCTCCCGGAGGATGTCCCGGATTGTGTTTGAAGACGCAGCCGAGCGCAACAACGACTTATTCTGTATCGGAAGTCCAGCTGTCCAGCTGGACCGTTGTCAAAACAAGATGCGGGAGACCAACGAGGCATGATGCGACCGTCCAACCGCTGCATACATTTGCAGCTTAGCTCGTACGGAGTTGCTGATGTCAATTTCTAAACAGGCCATTGAAGGATCCTGCGGAAGTAGAGCTTTGAAAGTATCGCAAGCAGAGAACTACGTTGAGGTCTTTGCTTGAGAGGGGCCATTATTAGATTCTTGTCGCTGGGGCTGCGTTGCCCGGATACCAAAATGCGTGCGTTGTTCTCACCTCCAGAAGCATCCCTGGCTGCTGTGCCGCCCTTCTCTGTCCCGTTGGGCGCGTGGCCGTCGCCCTCACGGCTTGCTGGCTGGCCAGCGCTGGAGTCGTCCTTCTTTGGAGGGTCAGTTTTTCCTGCAGAAAAGGGAGAAACGTAACATTGGGTTCTGACACAGCGTACAAGCTCAAGGGCAGCATATTGGAAAAAAGAGGCCACATTCTAAGGAAGACTCTGAAGATTATCACGTAGTTTAAGTCACCAATTCGTAAAGACGGCTTTGCAAAGAACATTCGGAGAAACGAACCTGAACTTCAGAACATCTGGGATTGAAGCGAGCGATGATTTGACAGGCTGGTTGGCCCACCTTTAGGGACATTCGGAACGAATACTACCCCCGGTTCCAGCGGGCTGCTGCGAGCCAAGATGGTGCCGTCAGGCTTCTGCAAGCGGCCCTCTCCAAATCCGCCTACGCCCTTCAGCGCATCCAGCGCTTCTCCCACCGTTTGGGGCTGCAACTTGGCAGGGGAGCCGCCGCTTGGGTTCCCGATGACGATCGGGTCCGTTTTGGCACCACCTTGGCTACCTGTAAACAGTTCAAGGGTAACTTTGAGCGCTGCACCCAAGGATTCTGAAGAGCAGGAATCTAGAATCTGATGCTCGGCTTCGGAAAAAGCAACCCTGAGGAAGAGTGAAGCGAGCACATTGATAATTACAGAATAGTCACCAGCTCAAACTCAATCGAGCCTGAGAGGACACATGGCACGTGAACAGAAACAATCGAAAGTTGAAGCCTAGGTCAAAATGCAGCTTTTCTCAAATGGTTCCTTCTGAAGGCAAAGCTATGACAAGATTGACACCCGTTACTGAGGGATATTCTTAAATTCTGATGCTGAGGCTTCGATTCGTCAAACGAGCGCGGTCACATGCAATCCTTACCTCCGGAAGGTTCGCCTGCTCCGGTGCCCTTTCCTCCCCCGGTGCCCTTCTCACTCCCGCTTGGCTTCTGGTCCCCGTCGTCGTTTCCACTTGGTGACTGAACGGGGTCCTTCTCGTTGGGCTCTTCTTTGCCTGCCACGGAAGGTGAAACGATGCACGCTCGCTTTGCTAAGTAGCTTGGGTTATGCGACCAGTCCAAGTTCCTCCTCACTTTCGCCAACGCTCTCTTTGGCAATGCTTGGAGCCCACTGTGTCCGCCACGCCTTCACTAGGCTACTTCGCTGCGATGGAAAACCGATGAGACCACATCAACGAGCGGGTTCCATACTTCAAGCGTTGAAGAGCACATATTGACAAGCTGATCGGCCCACCTGTGGCAGCGCTTGAGACGAAGACTGCCCCATGATCCAATGGGCTACCACGAGCCAAGATGGTCCCGTCGGGCTTCTGCAAATGGCCCTCCCCGAAGCCGTCCACGCCCTTCAGCGCATCAAGCGCTTCCCCCACAGTTTGCGGCTGCAACTTTGCGGAAGAGTCACCGCTCGGGTTTGGAATGACGATCGGGTCCGTGTTAGCACCGCTTTTGTCACCTGCAAAGCGTTCAAAAGGATAGTTCTTAGAACATACCCAACTTAAAGATATTGATCAACGAGATAAAGCAATGAAAGCCCTAGAAGAGGGAGCCCGCAACGGCTTGGAGGTTTAAAAGGCACTTCTTCACTTTGACCGAGGTGACGATCAGAGGGCACCTGAATCTCAAAGGTGAACTGCTGAGGCTTGAGAGCTGTCCTGCGAAAACTTGCACCCTTCTCATTGACATAATCATCAAGTTACCGCTTCCTTCTGACCCAAAGCTCCGAACGCGTTGCAGGCGGCTAATCAAACTTGAGCTCCGCGATTAAAGGGGGAAGAGAAGGATTCTGAAAATCGGTAACGCAAACGCTGCTGAAATGGTTTGAGTCGAAAGCGCAAACATTCAGATGCTCACCTTTAGTACCGCCCACTTCGACGCCCTCGTCAGGCATCTGGCCGTCGCCTTTTGAGATTGGTGAACGGTCGGTTCCCCTGGGGTCGTTCTTGGTTGTATCACCTTTTCCTGCAAGGTAAGAAGCAGAGGCGGTGCATGTAGACCAAGCTTCCTTGCCAATATTGAGCTCCCCGCTGTGCGCCACAACTGCGGGAACGTTTCGTGCCCACTGTCTCTACCTTGCCTTCTCGAATAAGCTTCGAATCCATTTGGAAGAGCCATAGTTGTATTCAGGAGCTACCCTACCTGAGGCAATGGACGGTAGAACGTTACCATATTGATCGGCGGGTCAAAGCTGGAATTTTGCTGGTCGGCCCACCTTTAGTAACATTCGGTACGAAGACCACCCCCGGTTCCAGCGGGCTGCCGCGAGCCAAAATGGTGCCGTCGGGCTTCTGCAAGCGGCCCTCCCCGAAGCCGTCCACGCGCTTCAGCGCATCCAGCGCTTCCCCCACCGTTTGGGGCTGCAGCTTAGCAGGGGAGCCGCCGCTCGGGTGCTGGATGACGATTGGGTCCTTGCCGCCGCTGCCTTTGCCGCCTGTGATTTACCACAGATAATTCGATCAGCCGCAAGGGGCTTCGGATTTCGAGCTGCCTGTCAGCTTCCAAAGATAGATTTTTACAAGGCACTCGAGGACCGCCGCGTCATCCCGTCAGCCCCTGCGCCTCTGAGACGTACCCGCTTAGCTTTTATCAAGGCACGATGTATACAAACTTCAACAATACATTCAAGCACCCTGAAGACAACCAGGTGCTCGTCGATTACCAACCCGGCCAAGCAAATCGATTTAGGCTTGTCATCCAAGCCAAAAGTTCGCTGCTGTCCGGGAACTGAGCGTTGACTAAGTATTTCTGAGATAACGAGTAACGAAAGAACGTCTTCTGTAGCTTGAAGCACGGTTCGAACGACGTTTCTCTTATCTTGATATCTTGGCTTCGTGCTTCAGCAACTTACCTCCACCTCCTACGTCAGGGCCGCCGTCTTTTCTATCGTAGCCTGGGTCAACCGGCTTGCTGGTGTCAGTCTCCGGACTTGCTCCGTCCGTGCCATCTCTGGTGCCTGCACAACAAGGATAATGGATTGTGAATACGCGCTTAATTGACATGCGGACTGGATGAGTTCGCAACCGCTCTCTTGAGCACGTATTTTGAAAGGCTTGCAAAAGTCCGCGCTTTTAATCCTCCTAAGTACTTGTCCCGGTCTCCCGGAAAACATTATAAGCTGCCGCGCGCCACAACACATTCCACCCCCTCCGCATTCAGTTTTCTATATGACACATCGCACAAGCTTCGCTGTAGTTAGGTGAATGGCGGAAGTTGCATCAGGATGCAACAAGCGGGGGGAGGGGGCTTCAACCCCTGACGACCGCGTGCCTGTTGCAGAATGCACAAGCGGGCTATCGACTGGAAGCGCAACGTAAGATAAATGTATAGTTTACACTAATTCTCACTTCTGGAGCCTTGACCAATTTGTGCGTGCCAACTTTCGCTCCAACAGCAGACGAAAACAGCACACAAGCTGCCTGAATCAAAAGTATCGCTGGTACCAAAACGCAGCGCCCGCATGATTTACCTGGTGAAGCAGTCGGCACGAATACATGTTCCCCGCCCGGCTGCAGACGCGTGTCTGGTGCTAAAAGCGTCCCGTTCTTGGCCTTGAGCGTGCCTTCTCCAAACCGGGGCATGCGCTTCAGAGCCGCGAGGGCTTGAGCCACGGTTTGCGGCTGAACCTTGAGGGGATAACCCCCGCCGGTGCTCTGAATGCTTGCGGGTCCTTGGTCCCCGCTTGTATCTGCTGGGCGGTCGCCTGCACGCAAGTAAGAAGTGGTTGATGCCCTGTCCAGATGAAATTGCTCTCAGAGAGTTTCTGCGATTTGTCCAGGTTATGAAAGGTAGAGCAGGAAAGCACTTTGGTTCCGGCATAGGGCCTTTCTTTGAAGCGACCTCCAGACCGTCGAATGCAACCGCATCAAAGCTTGAGACACCGGGGACATCCAGGGAGGGAATCAGAACTCCCTCCAAAGCTCGATAGCAACGCCGGTGCTCTCAATCAAAAAGCCTTCTTCTAAATCTACAGGGCGACTTATGATGGATACTGGTTCCGTGGAATCCCGGCGGACCAGCATATGTGAGGAGAAGCTCGAAGATCGAGACAACAAAAAGACTACATCTTCTTCCGTCTCCGTGAGCGTCAGAACGAAAGCGTGATCTTTACATGAGCCTACACCGGCCAGGAGGCTTGATCGTGCTGATTCCGCCCAACACATCCGACACATGACAACAAAAGGATTCACGCTTATCGAGACCGGTCGATCTACCGTAATCAGTTGTATTTTGGCTGCAGGCTGTTCCAGATTCCTCCACTTATGAGCGAGTAAGTCACTCAGCTTCGCAAAAGTAAGAAGTGAACGGCTGTGTTCATTCTCCCTCCGAGACGGTGCCCACCTTACAATTTGATTCAGACGCAATCCCGATATATAGAGAGATCTCACCTCCACCGGCAGGACCGGGCCTGTCAGCGCCTCGCTTCTGATTGCCGCCTCCAGTGACAATACTAGCGCCGTTCTCGCCGGCTCCCGCGCCTGCACCTTTGGAGAGAGAATATGACGACTCAGTGCTTCGCAAAAGCTGCTTAGAGTTTCAATGATGCCTCCGTTTGCTCGTTGAGTTGGGGTTGTCATTCACAGTATGAAAGGAAGACTCGTCCGCTGTGATCATTAAGTTCTCCGTACACTGAGCTTGATGATGGAATTGCCTCGAGACCGGAGACAATGAAACCGGAGACAACACTGGCTCACTTGGCCGATGTCCAGATATCGGACCGACAGAAGAGGCAAGCAAAGAATCAAAGACAAAGTAACACATTTCCAACTAGGAATCAGGCCTGACAAAGCAACCCCGCATCGTAGTCCTGGTATGCTTGAAAGTCGTTACGTTCGGAGCCACGATAGCAATTTTTGCTGCCATTTTTTGTGTGACCGGAAGACTTCCAGGAACTCGAAATCACGGCAAGGCAAAACGGACCTGAGGGACTATCCGGCACGAAGGTGTACTGTCCGCCCGGCTGAAGACGGGTCTCTGGCGCCAAGAGCGTCCCGTCCTCCGCTGTAAGGACGCCCTCCCCAAATCCTCGAATGCCCTTCAACGCGTCAAGGGCTTGCGAGACAGTCTGGGGCTCCACAGGCTGACTGGCGCCGCTTGCGGTCGTTATCAGTGCGGATGTCTGGCCCGCATCAGTACCTGCAAAGCGTAGAAGGCCCCGAACGGTTGGGCACAAATCTCCAGAGCAGACCTTTCAGAATGCTCGACGCCAAATAGACCCTTTCCAGGCGTGAAGCAAAGTCGGAAAGCTAATGTGCTGACGTGTACTCCCACCCAAATTTTTAAACTTCCAGCCCATTTGCATGCGTTGACCTGTTCCAAAAGAGCGATTTTTTGCGGTCACCGTTTGTCTTTCTTGGCAAACAAAGGGATTCCGGACCACATTTCCGTAGCATCTGGAAAGAAGGCATACAACATTGGCCTTTACTCAAGTCCGGCCTGCCTGTGGAAAGGCGCTCTTGTAAGCATTCCCGCAAGGATCCACGTCAAAGCCAATTTTCAGGTTCCTACTAAAAAGCGGCTGACTCTGACGTAGATTGCACGGACAAAAACATTCGACAGGTACGTTGATCCGACTTACCCCCGCCGCCTGTCTTCCTTCCAGCATCCGTGTCGCTGGTAGCTCCAGTACCGGGCTGGACGTCAGCGCCAGCCCGGCCTCGGTCGGGTTTGGTGTCATCTGCGGGCTTTGCGCTGGACCCTCCGCCTGCATGATTCATAAAACGTGAGACTCATTATTGGTCACCAAGACCTCTTGAAAATTCTGAACGCCGCCGGGCGTCGTACTCCGTTGGAGTTAGAGATATTGAGTCAGCGCGTCTTCAGAAAAGATAGAAATGTTAAATGCAACGATATTGGGAGCATCAACGACGACGTATGGGTCTGCTCCGATCCGCTTCTGAGAGCTCTTCTCGGTCTTTTGAGGCAGAACTGTGACGCATGCTGACTATTACTAAGCTTTTCTAGAACCAGCAGCATAGCACACTCTGTCGAAGCAAGCGCGTCTCCGCGCGTGCGAGCGCAACCAGAAAACGAGCAGCTTGAAATTTTGAGGAGCGGAAGTTGCGAAGCCCAATCCGTTTGCACAAGTTCTACCTATTGCTTCGAGGCAAATTGTACAGAACATGCCGTGTCTCCGAGGCGAACACGACAGATTATACAGCCCATGGGAACAGAACATGCAGCCCAAGGATCCAACTGGAATCAGATCCACTTACGGCTCGGGACAAAGACATAGTCCTGCCCCGGTTCCAGCCGAGAACCGGGAGACAAGCCCGTCCCGTCTTTCCGCTGCAAAACGCCTGGCCCGAATTCCGGCAGGTTCCTCAAGTACTCTTGTGCATCTTGGACGGTCTGAGGTTCCACGTCGGACGTCCGGCCAGTCGACGAGTGGACGATCCGGACAACCTGTGCAGTCGCAGTGGAACCTGGCCCCGAACCACCTAGGGACAAAAAGAAGGCTTCACGTTAGAGGAGGCCTTCGCTTTGGTTAAACGCAGAACAAATAAAGTGTGAAGACGGAAAGACCAATTGCTTACGGAGAACCGCGAAAAACAATCCCTTACAAAGAGCAACGGAGCGCATCTTGTACCACCCAATCATAGGCGCCTCGGCTCTGTGTCCTAAGGGTGGCCGCCGCTGCTTATCCTTGTTTGACACTGTGGGCTGGTATCTGCCAGTCACTAAAAAGCATACGCAGCATCGGATGAACCGAACCCTGCTGCGGGTTAACCTTCGCAAAAAGGCTGTGATCCGGAGAGTCCGACCCGCATCGCTCTTTCGGAAACCTGTAATCTGCTTTCTCATCGTTCGTCATCTGAGCGTATGTTGACACCCATCAGCATATGTTTGCCAAGGGAAGGAGAAGCGAATATCGAAGACCCGGCCAGGAAAAGGCAGAACGGAGCAGACACAACAATTAGGCGCTTTGAGTATTTTGCCAACTCGAAGTCGCCGGCAAACTACCAGAGTCACCACCGGCCGCACCGCCAGAAGAGCCGTCAGACACGTCTTGGGGGGCGCCTGCGCCAGTCCCGCCGGAGCCCTTGTGGCCACGCGTTGCCGAATCTGCAGAGAAAGGAGGTGGAATGCGGCTCCCTCCAGGCTACCAGGTCTTTGCTTCGTCGCGAGTTACTCTTAAGTAAACTGCTTGGATGCTGATCAAATTGCCACGAGCCTGCAGACTTAGAGGTAAGACAAGTGAAGCAACCGATCAATAGGACTATAGTAGCACATACCCCTCCGGGACAGTTTCCTCCAGTCGGCAAGCAGCCACAAACAAGTACGAGTCAAGACCGGTATCTGCGATCGTCGCGCCCTGCATGCCTTGAGGTCTCATTGCTGAAGTAGATAGAATCATGCTAACAATCATGCAGCCCACTGGAAAGAAAGGGAGTCCCGTGGTTTTACATGGGAACGAGGTCTACTTCGCTAGCACTGACGGCCGTTCGCTCGGGTGCTAGCTATGACAAGGCCGGATTCTTTTAGTTTCGTGTGTAGGGCTGGCGGAAAGGCAGTACAAATCGCGACTCAAAGAGAAATGTCGAAGGATCCTTCGCCATTGCGGCCGACTCGGATGACGCACTGGTTCAATGAGATCAACTCATTGACTTCGCAATCGCAAAGACAAGTGGTTTGTGATTTGCTCAAAAAACCTCGTCAATTTGGTTTCTAGCGTATTTTTGTTAGTACGGATATTCGAGGCTGATCCTACGCAAAAAAGCACAACCCTCCATGTAAAACATGGACGGTAAGCCCGCTGTCCAAAATGCTAACGTCCTTAGGATAGCTACTATTTCTATTTCTATCAAATCCTACCTGTGAACGAATTCTGGACGTTTGCTTCAAAAGGACGTCGAGTTCGGACCTGGAACAAAGACGTATTCTTGACTCGGGTCCAAGCGAGTGTCCGGCGCCAATCCCGTGCCATTCTTGTTCTGCAAGACGCCGCTGCTGAATCCAGATATGTTCTTCAGATACTGAAGTGCGTCGCGGGCGGTCTGCGGCTCCACTTCCGAGATCTGGCCGGCTGAAGCATTCCTGATGCGCACCACCCGTGCTTGTGCACCTGAAGCCGCTTCCGAACCACCTGCAAAAAGGCGCAACAAAAGCATGGTTAAGGGAAGACGAGCGGAGGGGTTAACGGACTCGACCGTCGGAGGCATCAAGCTCTTAACGGCAGGGTTCGTCAACCAAAACGGAGTGCTTAGCCGTAAGTCAGCTTCTGATCCAACTCGTCAAATCCTCCTATCGGCGAGTATAGGATATGGAGGCAGCTCTCAGTCGCAAACGCACAAATGCATCGAGCAAGCCCCCAACCATTACAATACCCGTTTCCTGGAGCTTGAAAAGGAATAAGCCTTCAACTTTTTACAACCAAGAACACTAGTTACAAATGATCCACAGAAAGGAATGGTGGCAAAAGAGTGTCGCTTGACTGCTCGCTACTTGAAGAATGATTGGCGCTTTGGAAGACGGGAGTTTATCTTGAAGCAATACTCCGCTCTCTGACCTTGGTTCTTACCGGTTCCATTTGTGCTTGGCGATGCCGGACGGGCGGCGTCTGAAGGCTTGCTGTCGTTACCAGCATGACCGTTCCCGCCGCCATCAGTGGGTGCTACAGGTAAAGTGCAACACTTTTGAAATCTCAATTTAAAGCTTACATGCAATTTACAACGGCTATCTTCGTTCATAACGAAGCACGATCTCAAATCACTCAATCTCGTCCGTACCTATTTGCCTGTCGACTCGCACACTGAGGTTCAAATCCAGGTCCGTCTAATAATCTGACGGGCCGTCAGCAAGGTTGCTTCGTGTGTGGGTGTAGAACCTGCCGATGCAGTATAGACGAATGTCTTTGTTTACAGGAAACGTAGGCAGAACAGAAGCAGATTCGGACCGGCCGACAGACGAAACCCGGATGTCGTCGTCAATAACCGGTGGCTGGACCTCAATTAACGCATCTTCGCAGCAGGCAGCTTCGTACGGCGAGTCTCACTGGGAGAAGCACTTGGAACGAAGATGTAGTCCTTCCCCGGCTCCAAGCGGGTGTTGGGCGCCAAACCCGTGCCGTCTGGTCGCTGCAGAACGCCTTCCCCAAAACCCTGGGTATGCTTGAGGAACTTCACCGCTTCGTCGGCAGTTTGCGGCTCCACGTTCTTGACGCGGCCGGCTGTAGGGTTGTTGATGTGAGCAGGTTGCGCGGTTGCGACTCCATCGGTTGCTGAGCTTCCACCGTTGATGAGCCGCCACCTGTCGTGAAAAGACGGAAACCCTGAGCCGAAGGTAATTGCGGTGCACAATTCCAGGATTGGCAAACGAGCGCCAGCGGCTTGCATTCGATAATAGGCTGTCCAGATGTGCCAGTCCAGATAAGTGTAGTGGCAACACGCTTTTTTGTGCAGTGTTGTCCGCTTTAGATAGGAACCTGTCAACGACTGTTCAGCCAATAGGTAGAATCAAACGAGCCGTCGAACTCAGTCGGTCATTCCAAGAAGGACACTTGACGCAGACATTAATTGTGATTTGGGAATGCATCTGAGGTGCCGTTCTGCTTCGATTCCCGAAAAGGTTACACGAGGCTGGGCAAGTCCGACAGTGCGCTGACAAAAGAACGAGAAGCGGCCTTGGTGATGAAAGGCACATCCAGCGGTCACTTTCCGGATACCGAGTAGCGTGGCTAGAAATTCAGCAAGCTGAAATGTTGAGATGTACAACAACCAAAAGTCCCCTGCCCCCCCACCACAAGCCCGGTCAATGGTTGCGTGAGGATAATTCACCTGAAAGAGCGGGGCTGGCCACAGGCGCCGTCGGCGCAGTTCGCACGGGCTGACCAAAGTAACCGGAGCCATCGGGGTTGAAGTTGATGTTGATGTCAACATTTTGCTGGACATTAGTGCCCCCGGAGTCGTGCTGTCCGGTATGGGTATTGCGCGCCGGGACGTTACTGGTGCCTGTAAAAGTGAAAGGACGACCACAAGGTCAAGTTACTCCGCGTGTTGGGCATACGCGATCCCGGATTCAGATGTAGTTTATTGAAAGCAGATTGCGAAGCAACCTTGTTATCTCAAACGGCGAGTAGGACTCGAGATGGTCTACCACACAATTTACCAACGTAGCCTAGAACCCAAGTAAATCAGAGTCAGTCGGATGACGTAGGTCACAAACTCTTCGGGTTTCAGCTGATCAGCAAAAACAACTAGCTGGCCTTTACTTGAATGAGACACGGCCGGAATTTATGACAGCACGGTTCGTTGATCAACCAGACACAAGCACTTTCTTTGCCCATCCTTTCAACCTTAGGCTTGTTGTCCAAACCCACAGTTTGAAGTCGGGACCAAACCGAAAGCTCTTTGGAAAGTATCGACTAGGCTCGAAGCAAGCACGACAAAACCAACAGTCTCCCAGCTCCTGGACTTGCACGAACCTGTCGTGATTCCGGATCCGGTCGCAGTTCCGCCGGCTCTAGGGGCAGCGGCTCCATTCTCAGTAGCTCCAGCATCCCGACCTACACATCAAAATATACCAGGGCATGTCGTTAATCGCAAAGCCAGAGTCGGGCCGTTTGGAAACATCCAAGGTGATCAACTGGCCGCCGATGTTGATAGATCGAGAGAAACGGCTGAGGCGTAACTTCAAATCAACCAAAGGTTTCTCGACCGAAAATATGTATCTCAGCATGTGAAATGCATCGCTCGAAAATACAAGGAAAGAAGCCGTGCTCCATCCTAGAACCATACAACGCTGATTCAGTTCTACCCTACCTCTAAAAGTCATTGCTTCGGTAACTTTCCAAACCAGACAATGAGGGCCCAGGGTTACCAACTCAATCTTGAGATTTCGAAAAAGGGTACTAGCTCAGATTCATAGAATTGTATCCACAACTAATCAGGGAGCAGGTTCATTCTTTGGTCAATAGGATTACAGACGTAAGCATTCCTTTGACCCTAAGTACCTGTTGCGGGCGTACCCGTGCCCACTCCTCCTCCTTCTCCACCGCCGCCCTTGGAGCCTGGTCCGTTCAACGCTTTGTCGACTGCCCCGACCACACCCCCGTCACCAGGTTTGCCATTTGTGCCGCCGCTCGGAGTAACCCCTGCACGTAAAAATGTCTTATCGGGATCGTGTCAACAATAGCAGATCATCCGAACCATACCATTGGTAATACAATACAACCGGGCAAGATGCATCGCTCGAAAAGATAAAATACGAAGCGCATGTCCCATCGCATGACCATACCGAACTCTGAAACTCATACGTCAAAAGGCTTCTTGGAACTCAGATAACTAGAACGAACGACTGATTCGAACCGATCGGATTTTATGAGACTGTGAGACGGGTACGAGAGGGGTACGAGCTCAGATTCTCAAACTAGATTCATCTGGATTTGAGTAGAATCACTTTCTAATCAACACAGATGCATATAACAAGCGTATTATGTTCGAGACTTAGTAACTGATGCAGGCGTACCCGTGCCCACTCCTCCACCTTCTCCACCGCCACCCTTGGAGCCTGGTCCGTTCAATGCTTTGTCGACTGCCCCAACCACACCCCCGTCACCAGGTTTGTCGTTTGTGCCGCCGGCCGGCGTAACCCCTGCATGTAGTTTTGTCTTATTGACGTTGCGTCACCAACGGCAGATCATCCGAACCATACAATTGGTAAAAGAATTGGTAAAAGAACACAACCGGGCAAGATGCATCGCTCAAAAAGATAATTTAGAAGCGCATGCCCCATCTCAGGACCATCCAACGTTGATCGGGCTCTACCCGAACTCTAAAACTCATCCGTCAACAGGCTTCTTGGAAACACAGAATAACCAGAACGAACGACTGGTTCAAACC